ATTGGTTAATCGTCATTCTCCTACCTTCAAATATCTTATAGCTTGGATTACGACATCCTTCTTCCAAGTTATAAAGTATTGTGTTGGGTCCTAGACTTAATATTACATTTGGGTATCTTATTAACGATTCTATATATAATCTAAACTTCTCTTTTGTTCTTTTCAGATGTCTTCCAACAATGCTGCTTCTGGCTCAAACCAAATAGGCTCCTTCTCTCTCATGAATCTTTGTGGGAGAGTCATCTTTGATGGTTCAAACTTTAATGATTGGATCAGGAACATCAGGATGGTTACACGTTACGAGGATAAGGAATATGTCCTTGACAAGGAGCTGAAAGAAATTGATGAGTCTACTGCTAGTCTACAGGAGATCGCTTACTTTAGGGCACATGAGAGAGATGCCACCAAGGTGGCATGTATCATGTTGGCCACAATGATAGCTGAACTCCAGAAGTCTTATGAGGAATTTTACCCTTTTGAGATGCACATGGACCTGATGGACAGATACCATCAGAGTGCTCGTTAAGAGAGGTATGAAATCATCTCATCCATGATAACAACCCGAATGAAGGATGGTGAATCCATCACGGGCCACATATAGAAAATGCAAAGGTTTGTGGATCGTTTACTGAAGTTGAATGTGAACTTCCCTGAGGAGTTGGCTATTGATATCATACTGTACTCCTTACCTACTTGGTATGATCAGTTCCGAATGACCTATCACATGAACAAGGAGGAGGTCACACTCAGCAAGCTTCAAGGACTTTTGAAGACCGCTGAAAGTGGTCTCAAAGGTAAATCGGTTGTTACTACATCTACTCCTAACACCGCTCCTGTTCTAGCAATCGGGAAAAGTAGAGGGAAAAAGAGGAAGACCCCTTTGAAGGGTACTAAGGGAAAGTCTCTTGATGGCCCCTCTTCGAGTGGAACCAAAGGTGGTTCTGTCACTCCTACCCATGCAGGTATTTACACTATATTGTCTAAATAACTCACCGCATACTTATTCTTGGGTCCTTGATACAATTTATGGTATTCATATATATTCTAATTTGCAGGGCCTAAGAAGACGTGAGGATGTGGAGCACGGAAAGATAAACTTGACCATGGGGAATAGGAAAGCTTCACCTGTCACCAAGATTGGAGTTTATTCTTTGTTGCTAAGTAGTGGGTTAGTGTTAGATTTGAATAAGTGTTGTTACTCGTCTGAAATGGCAAGAAATATTTTTTTTTTCATGGTTTGTACAAACAAGGGTTTACTTTTTCATTTGAGAATGATTGTGGTGGTATTAATGCTTTTTATAATAATGTTCTTTATTTTAAAGCATTACCTTGTGATGGTGTATATGAAACTGTGTCGGTTGTAGACAACATAGGAAATAATGTGTTGTATATCAATTCTTCCACTAGTTTGGACAAAGCATCCTTGTGGAATTGTCGTCTTGGACATGTCAACAAGAAGCGCATAGGCGAACTCCAAAAGGCTGGATCTTGGAGTCATTTGACTTAAAGTCGGATGATAGTTGCGAGTCTTGTTTTCTTGGAAAAATAACAAAGTCACCCTTCACTGGTACTTGTGCTAAGGGTGAAGGTTTGTTGGACCTCATACACACAGATGTGTGTGGACCCATCAGAACCGCCACAAGGGATGCTAACCGCTTCTATGTGACTTTTACTAATGATTACAGATGATATGGTTATGTCTACTTAATCAAGCATAAATCAGAAACCTTTGAAAAGTTCAAAGAGTTTAAACATGAAGTGGAGAATCAGCTGGGCAGAAACATTAAGATGCTCTGATCTGATCGAGGAGAAGAGTATCTTAGTACAGAGTTCCTTGGCTATCTTAACGAATGTGGAATTGTTTCATAATTGAAACTTCCCAGAACACCACAGCTTAATGTTGGCTGAGAGTTGAAATTGAAGCTTGTTGGACATGGTTCGTTCCATGATGAGTCGAGCTTCGTTACCAATCTTATTATGGGGGTATGCCTTAGAGACTGCCGCCCATATCCTTAATCTAGTCCATACCAAGAAGGTTGCCAAAAAACCTCACGAGATGTGGACTGGGAAAGTTCTCAATTTAGACCACATCAAGATTTGGGGTTATGAGGCTTTCGTGAGACGTGAAACTCAGGACAAGCTCAAACCTTGTAGTGAGCGGTGTATTTTCATCGACTACCCACAAAATCCCTTTGGTTACCTCTTCTACAGACCCAGTGAGAATGTGGTATTTATGGCAAGGAGAGGGGTCTTTCGAGAGAGAGAGAATTTATAAGCCAAGGAAACAGTGGGAGACAAATTGACCTTGAAGAGCTTCAAGAGTCAAGTGGTGAAGGAACCTCAAACCCTAGAAATCAACCTGAGGAGAAAACTCATGTTGAACCAACTGACGATTCTGTACCTCTAAGGCATTCCACTAGAGTTAGGAACACACCTGAGCATTAATATGGTTTCCATATTACTGCGGAAGGTGGTACATTTATCAGAGATGGTACACTAGTAAATTTGGATGAACCTAACAACTACAAGGAAGCCATAACAGGCCCCAAGTCTGCTAAATGGAAAGAAGCTATAGACAGCGAGATTCAGTCCATGTATGACAATCAAGTTTGGAACTTGGTTGACAATGTATCGGGTCGTAAGATAGTCAGGTGCAAATGGATCTTCAAGAAGAAGACCGACATGGATGGAAAGGTACACACTTATAAGGTGCGACTGGTGGCCAAGGGCTTCACTCAAACTCAGGGAGTTGACTATGATGAAACCTTCTAACCAGTAGCAAAGATTAAGTCTATTAGGGTTATGCTAGCCATTGCTGCATTTCATGATTATGAAATATAGCAAATGGATGTCAAAACCGCTTTCCTTAATGGAAAGTTGGTTGAGGATGTTTATAGCTTAAAACATATTAAAATAATGCCTAAATATATGTATAAATATGGCAATATCAAAATACCACACACTTGTCTTTTACTTGCACTCAAGCCAAACTTTCATTAGTATATCACATAGAACTTCGCCCACCAATATTACACAAGACAATCCGAATCGAACGCACTAATTATGTGTCATCTCGATGCATGTATTTGTGTTTAATTCCTTATCACATCCAAACACTAAATGCTTACGATCCTCATAAACGCTTCCACTTATTTTTAATGACATTTATTTTTATGCATCCCTCAAATCCATCCTCATAAAACTTTCTTAACCTCAAGGTGTTTTTAGTTTAGCTCCCAATCATACCCCATATAAAATACTACATATAACCTCATACATAAGGATAAAGAGGAGCCTATAAAAAACCCTTACATATAAAAGAAGCAGGTAAACATTTTGAACACTTAGAAACTCTTAGCAATTTTGAGAGACCTCATACAACATCTAACTTAGGCACCCGAGAGCAATATCGGGGTCCAACCCTCGATATAACTTTCTAACCTAACTATTTTCCATTCATGCAACATACCTTCTGGACTACTCGTTATGAAAAAATGAACAATTCAATCTACATCATGTAGGTGGAAGGCCACATAGCAACAATACTATATTACTTTATTAATTTATTAAACTATAAATATCAACTAATGATATTTTTCAAAATACAAGATAAAATTAAAAAGTGAAAAATTACATAAAAAGTGTTCATGTAAAATATAAGAAAGATAACGATAAATTAGTTATATATATATATATATATATATATATATATATATATATATATATATATATATATATATATATATATATATATATATAAATAAAAGGACAACCAATTAAAGAATATGTATAACAATAATTTTTTATTAACAAAAGTTAGTGAAAAAAATAATAATTATTTGAAATGTTAAACATTACTGATTACCTAAAAGAAAACGTGATAAAGAGATCTATTAAAGATTTTGAATATCAAGTAAACTACCTTTGGTTTGAATTTATAATATTTATATATTGTTTTACTAATCGTTATTGGAAATTGTCTTCCACAGTTCCCTAATAGAAACACCAGAAAAACCAACCGTTATTTGAATTATCTTCCACGGTTCCCCGACAGAAACACCAGAAAAACCAACCCCATTGTTGTTACCAAATCTTTTCATTATGATATTATATACAATCAGCTAACTTTGACTTTGTTCAGGTTGTCTTTATGTATTAATTGTCTCTTTTGCCCAAACCCAAACAAGCTTCATTTATGAGACATCCTTAATTTTTTTAGGCAGAAAAGTCTTTTATTTATGCTTATTTTAAAACAGAGTATTTTATAAGTGTGAAATTTATCCCATAAAAGTATATCCGGAGAAATGTTTTTCATTAAAAACTTGGAATATCATAATTGATATATAAACATAATCATAAACTAGCCTTAATAGGCCCTACAACATCTTAGGCTAATGACCTACATTTCCTTGAATCCCTCAATAGATATTTACATTTATCTGAGTACCTTGGTATTGCTATTTGTGATACAAAAAAAACTAAGTGGATAAGGTTGGAAAACTTGGTGAGTAGATATGGTTTTCAACCAACAATAATTAGATTTAATTCATATCAAACAATTAACCTGATTATCCATCTCCGTTTTCTCATAAATATTCATCTCTTATGGACCTATCCTAAGGATCATCACATTTTCTTATATAGCTAAGGACTTCTCCTAAGGATCATAATTAACATCGGACAGACAGCACTGCTTTAAAGATTTCTTCACAATACATGTACGTAGAGTACATCGTATGAACAAGTTGTTCATCACCTACAGATTGTGAACCTGTCAGTGTTTCACTGGACCATTTAGAATAGTCATTGCTCGTCATATATACTTCGTTACATGACTACCTCACAATCATCACAAGTAAAAGTCATGGCAGCTCCTAATCATCTCTCATCTCCCATCTCTCGTTGCCCATCACTACCCGATATATATATATATATATATATATATATATATATATATATATATATATATATATATATATATTTAAAATGGGCGATGAGAGATGGGAGATGGGAGATTCGATCAATCGGCTCAACTGGATGCAGAAGGGTGGCGGTTTACGATCCACTTGAATTTAGAGGTTCACTTCACTGCTGGTATGCTTTAGAACTCTTCACTGAATGACGACTCCCTTTCTATATCCTCTACCGTTGGTCCCGGCGGTAGAAGCTAGTCGTCAGAAGCGAACTTCTGGGCCGGGAAGGAACCAAAAAAGGAGAGATGATTAGGAGCTATAACCTAATGTGTGTGTGTTTGTGTGTGTGTGTGTGTGTGTGTGTGTGTGTGTATATATATATATATATATATATATATATATATATATATATATATATATATATATATATTGAAATGGTTTGTTAAATGGTTTGTTATGAAATTAGTTACCACATGTAACTTAATTAGTTGCCACATGTTCTAACTGTTCTAATTTGGTGAAATGGTTTGTTATGAAATTAGTTACGGAGTTAGTTGAGAAGTTAGTTGGTTTTATACATATAGTTGTATTTCATTTTTTTTGTAATTATAACTTGAAGTGTTCTTCAAATTAAGAAATGTTTTCTCTCTCTCTATTTATTACATTCAAACACCTAGTGCCATTCCTCAAGAAAGGGCCACATCCATTCTCTAGAAGGGAGAAAAATTGTCTGGTGCATATAGAAAGAAAAAGCTGCATGAATGATTGTGTAACCGATCGAGACCAAAAATGTTAGTACAACGATATAAAGAAGTATTACATAAATACATAATATTAAACTAATAAATTTTGAAAATAATTGAAAATTAGAAAATGTCGAAGCCCAAAAGTCCACACACGTAGACCATAAGATTTATTATTTTTCAAAGTAAATATATAAGTTATGCCAATTCAACGTCAAATATGGTCAACAGACTAAAATAACTCTTACTTGTTCTTTTTATTCGTTTGGATGAAATTATATTTAAAAAAGAAAACAAAGAAAGAGCAGTATGGTTTTATTATTATGTTGTAGTTAAGTTTATAAATTAAGATATAAATGATAAATTCAATATGACACTAAATTTATATATAATGAGAAGGACCATTTTATGTAAAAATAGTAATTCGAACTGAGATATATGTATAACAATAAATCTACTATAATAAATAAAGATCTTTTTAGTATATGTTATATTTTTATTCATTTTATCATGTGTAATTTTATGGTTATTTTAAATTAATTTTTATTCAATATGTCATTTTATGATTTTTTTTATTTTATTAAATTCCACATATTATTTAAATTTAATAACAAATGCATATCAATTTCATTAATGAACTTTACTTCTGATTTCAAAATTATTAAATTAAAGTATCATTAATTTCCTTTATTTATTTATTTAAATTTAAAAGAGAAAAAAAAACACTTTAATTAAAGTATCATCAATTTATTTACTTCTGATTTCAAAATTACTAAATTAAAGTATCATTAATTTCCTTTATTTATTTATCTAAATTATTTGTTTAAATTTAAAAAAGAAAAAAAAAACACTTTAATTTTTATAATTCAATATATTTCTCACTTTTCTTATAAATTCAAACTTCTCAAATATTTTGAGTTTTATATTTAATTTTTTTTAAATAAACTAATGTAATACATGGTCTCACACCTAGTTATTTAACAATACACAATTTTGTTATATCTTATGTAAAGTCGACTCAAATGAGAATCATCTAAACTATAATTAAAATAAATAAATAAATAATAATGAAACTAAATTCAATAGCTTAAGAATACTAAGTATTAAATAATGAAACTAAATTTAATAGCCTAATAATTCGTCCATTGAAAAAGTGCCATATGGCATTTATATCATCTGAAAATTCAAATCAAGAAAAATAAAAGTAAACTCAAAATTCAAAGCATTTATTAATGCGCTTCCTATAAATATCATATATCAAATTCCATCATCTTCCATTAACACTTTCCGAATTGCAACAATATTCGAAGAAATACACATTAATTTGATGGTTCAAAATCGGAAGATTTAATATAAATTTAGTAGTGTTCATGTCAGTAATAGTTGCATGCATGCACCTTCACCGTACCACAACGCAGACCAGGCATGTTGTTGGTGACGCATTGGGATGGACAACTATATCTAGCGGGGCCTTTGCTTATACCACTTGGGCATCACTTCAAACATTCACCGTCGGCGACATTCTCGTCTTTAACTTCACCAATGGAGATCACGACGTTGCGGACGTTTCAGTTGTAGGATAAGTAATTCTGATTTGGTCCTTTGTTGACCTTGTCTAAAGGAATAAGTGTTGTAGTTGCCACCTATTTAGGACGACATGTTTTTGTCAGTTTTTTTTTAGCTTAGCAGTTTTCCTTTGTTAATTATTTATCTTGTAAGTTCTTGTTTTTATTATCTGAAATCAATAAGAAGAAAACTGGGAATCTTTCCCTACACCTCTGTGTTTTGTTTTATTTGGGTATAAGTTTAAAGTGATCAGAACAGGGGGTCTATACCAACACATGGTATCACAGCCTTCCAGTTCATGCCCAAATACATAAGATACGACAACATGACAGGTTCCAGTCAACAGGTACCAAAAGATAACGGTGGGCTATCGTTCCAGTGTCCATTGTTGACTTCAACAAACTATACCACATGGGCAATCAAGATGGAGGCTATCATGGATGCTCAAGGTGTTTGGGAATCCATAGAATCAATAGTCAGAGTGTCTGTTGATGAGAAGAAGAACAAGATAGCACGAGCTTACATCTTCCAAGCAATACCAGAGGACATTCTCATGCAGGTAGCAAAGAAGAAAACCGCAAAATTGGTGTGGGAATCTTTGAAAATCCGGTACCTGGGTGCAGATCGAGTGCAAAAGGCGAGGTTGCACTCACTCAAGAGTGAGTTTGATACGCTGAGGATGAAAGAAGGAGAAACCATAGATGAATTCGCAGGAAAGTTGAGTGGGATTAACTCAAAATACACCAGTATTGGTGCAACAATAGAAGATAGCACTTTGGTGAGAAAGTTGTTTGATTATGTCCTAGAAAAGTATCTACAACTTGTGGCCTCCATTGAACAATATTCATATTTGGATACCATGTCGTTTGAAGAAGCCATAGGAAGACTCAAAGCTTATGAGGATCGGTTGAGAAGTCATATCGAAACCACAAATGCTGAAGCGGGTCTGTTGCTCACTCGATCTGAAGGGCAAATGGGTCAAAAGTCAAATAAAGGCTCCACCAATTCAGCAGGAAGAGGATGTGGATCTTCTAATGAAAGGGGAGGTCGAGGAGGTTATCGAGGAAGAGGTTCAAGGGGCATAGGAGGTCGAGGCAATCACCAATCATCCCGTGATACAAGCAATGGTCGAGGAAAGGGAAGAGACAAAAGTCACATAAAATGTTTTAATTGTGACTTGTTTGGACACTTTGCATCAGAGTGCCCAAATCCCAAGAGAAAGGAAGCTGATGTTAATCTCATACAAGTATAGGATGAAGAACATGTGCTATTGTTAACTGTATGGGGTGAAGATACAGATGAGTGGGTGTTGCTCAATGAAGACAAAGTATTCCCAACAACAAAAGGGAATGAGAAGGACACATGATACTTGGATAATGGGGCCAGTAATCACATGACAGGGGTGCGAGAATACTTTGCAGCACTTGATGAAAGAATAACAGGGCAAGTGAGATTCGGGGATGGATCCAAAGTACAAATCAAAGGAAGAGGAACAATTCTGTTGGAGTGTAAAAACGGGGAGCAGCAGATAATATCTAAAGTATATTACATCCCTGCCTTGAAGAGTAATATACTTAGCCTTGGTCAAATGACAGAGGTAGGGTACAAAATTGAGATGATTCATGAGTTTTTAAGAGTTCATGATGAAAGAAATCGGTTGGTCATGAAGGTGCAACACTCAAGAAATCGGTTGTACAAGATTGTGCTCCATACTTCACAACCAATATGTCTCAGTGCAAGTTTGGTTGATGTTGCTTGGCTTTGGCATGCAAGGCTAGGGCATATAAATTTTCCCTTGATTGAGTCCATGGTGGAGAAAGAACTGGTGTTTGGAGTGCCGAGAATCAACCGTCCCACACAAGTTTGTGAAGGATGTCTAGTCGCCAAACAAGCACGACAACCGTTCCCAAAAGAAGCTCAATGGAAAGCAAGGAATCCTCTAGAATTGGTACACGCAAACCTCTGTGGCCCAATAACACCCTAAACTATAGGAGGTAATCAATACTTCCTTCTCATAGTAGATGATTATAGCAGGTATATATGGGTGACAATGATCAGAACCAAAAGTGAAGCATTTGTTGCGTTCAAGAAGTTCAAGAATCATGTAGAAGCTGAAGGGAAGTTCAAACTAAAGATGTTGCGCACAGACCGAGGAGGTGAATTCACGTCTAAAGAATTCACTGATTATTGTGACCAGGAGCGAATTAAAATACAATTGATAATGCCCTACTCCCCATAACAGAATGGGGTAGTAGAGTGCCGAAACCAGACGATTCTTGAAGTCACCAGATCAATACTGAAGGCAATGGAAGTACCAGAAAAACTTTGGGGGGAAGCAATACGCCACGCAGTTCAAATCCTCAACAGAGTTCCAACAAAAGGAGTAAAAGGTATGACCCCATACGAACAAATGCAAGGGAAGAAGCCAACACTTGAACACTTTAAAGTGTTTGGCTTTTTTGCCCATGTAAAAGTGTCATTGAATCAGCTCACAAAGTTGAGTGATAGAAGTGAGAAGATGATCTATCTAGGAAACGAGGAGGGAACAAAAGGGTATCACTTGTACTGCACTAATCAGAAGAGAATTTGGGTATCACGTGATGTTATATTCGAAGAGAAAAAGAAAGGAGATTGGGACAAGTCGCAATCTGAAGGCTCAATTTTAAATGGTTGGGTCAGATTTCCCAGTGAAGTTATGGCCCAAGAATGTGTGGTGGGGAACGATCCAATACAAATTCACAATCCAACGAAAGCCACTCACAACCAACATCACCTGGTCAATCACAAGCTAGCAACGAAAGGGGTGAATCACCAAATTCATTTACGGACACCTTATCTCAATCATCGGACGAAGTTCTTAGTGTAGACAAAGAAACATACGATGACACACCAGTCCGTGGTTTTCGGTCCTTGACCGATATATACGAGGAAACGCAAGCCCTACAAGAAGATTCAGAAGTTTTAATGTATGCAGGAGAAGAACCCACTACCTATGAAGAAGCCTCGGGTGAAGAGGAGTGGATAAAAGCAATGAAATAGGAGTTGGAATCTGTTGAAAAGAATGATACTTGGAAGTTCATTCACCTTCCTAAAGGTAAAAAAGCAATAGGTCTGAAGTGGGTCTTTAAATTGAAGAAATATGTTGAAGGAAACGTGACCAAATACAAGTCTAGAATAGTCGCCAAAGGATATGTACAGAAGAGGGGTATCAATTTTGATGAGGTTTTTGCACCAGTAGCACATCTAGAAACAATGTGGGCGTTGTTGGCTTTGGCAGCAAGTGGAGGATGGAAAGTTCACCACTTGGACGTGAAATCAACATTTTTAAATGGGGTTTTACAGGAGGAAGTATATGTTACACAACCAACTAGCTTTGTCATTAAAGGAAAGGAGAACATGGTGTACAGGTTGAACAAGGCTCTCTATGGCCTATGTCGGGCTCCTAGGGCATGGAATGGTAGGCTTGATAAAATATTGAAAGAGATGGGATTCAAGATATGTCCACAGGAGTATGTTGTGTATAAACTCCACAAGTCAAACCAAGTCTTGATAGTTGGAGTTTACGTGGATGATCTGATCGTAACAGGAACAAGTGAAAAGTTGGTGAATGAGTTCAAAAAACGAATGTTGAATATCTTTGACATGAGTGTCTTGGGAATTCTATCCTACTACTTAGGGATAGAAGTTCACCAAAACAAAGATGGCATCACAATAAGTCAAACAGGGTATGCTAAGAAGATTCTTCATATAGCAGGAATGGGAGAGTGTAACCCAACTCAATACCCAATGGAACCTCATCTGCACTTATCAAAGGATGAAGATGGAGTGTCGGTTAATGCTACTGAGTACCGGCGACTCATTGGCAGCCTTCGTTACCTCATACACTCGAGTCCGGATCTTAGCTATTCAGTGGGAATAGTAAGCAGGTACATGGAATCACCAAAGGAAAGTCATTTAAAGGCAGTCAAACATATCCTAAGGTACATAAAGGGAACAACCAACTTTGGTTTAGTGTACAAGAAATGAGGAGATGGAAAGCTTGTTGGATTCAGTGATAGCAGCTATGGAATAGATATTGATGGTAGAAAGGGTACAACAAGGATGATTTTCTACTTATCAGGAAATCCAATTACTTGGTCATCCCAGAAGCAACAAACGGTGGCTCTAAGTTCCTGTGAGGCGGAATTTATGTCAGCAACAGCTACAGCATGTCAAGCTTTATGGCTAAAGAGTTTAATAAAAGAGTTGATTGGCGGGAAAGAAGAGCACGTCAAGATATATGTAGACATCAAATCTGCCATAGCCCTTATGTAGAATCCAGTTTTTCATGGAAGAAGCAAGCACATTGACACCAAATTACATTTCATACGAGGATGTATTGAAAAGAATCAAATTGAGGTGAAGCACATCAGTGGTGAAGAACAGAGAGCATATCCCTTAACAAAAGCCCTGCCCAGACTCAAGTTTATAGAGATGAGGCATCTCTTAGGAGTTGTGAAGCTTGAAGATAAAGTTCAAAATTAAGGGGGAGCTTGTAGGATAAGTAATTATGACTTGGTCCTTTGTTGACCTTATCTAAAGGAACAAGTGGTGTAGCTGCCACTTATTTAGGAGGACACGTTTTTGTCAATTTTTTTAGCTTAGCAGTTTTCCTTTGTTTATTATTTAAAGTCTTGTAAGCTCTTGTTTTTATTATCCGAAATCAATAAGAAGAAAACTAGGAATCTTTCCATGCACCTCTGTGTTTTGCTTTATTTGGGTATAAGTTTAATGTGATCAGAACAGGGGTCTATACCAACATCAGCGGCGACGTACGGCCCATGCACAGCCACCAATCCTATCTCCCTTGCAACCACTGGACCCGCCTCCCTTACCTTGACCACCACCGGAACCCACTATTACATATGCACATTCACAAGCCACTGCCAACTTGGTCAGAAGTTAACCATCAACATCTCCGCCGACGCCTCTACCACTCCGCCATCAGCAACACCCAAAACACCGGCATCTCCACCTACCACCATTCCTACACCTCCGACACCTGTATCCACAACATCGGCATCTCCACCGACCACCACCCCCACAACATCCGATGTTCCTTGTCCCCCCCACCTCATCTCCAAGCTCCAGCCCATCATCACCACCAACTGTCATAACCTCCGACAGGATCACTCCGCCTCCACCACCTAGTGGAGGAACTCCATCTTTCTCTACCATGGCATCTGCCAGTTTCTTGATATTTGGCTTGACTTTCTTGAACTATTAAATTTGAGAAGGAAGAGATACACTTATTTATCCTGTTTATCTACACATTATTTTAATATTGTTTTCGTTCATGATCACTATATGTTTTTTGTCCTATATTTGTTGTGAGGCCTCATCAAAATAAATAAAGATTGAAGATTTTGTTTTATTTTGGAATTTATTCGGATTTTAACTTTTTCTTATTTACTGTAAAAAAATCGCTAGGCAGTAAGTAATTGGTCGATTAGGGTTTAAGTACCAATCGACCTAAGTGAGGATTAATCATGGATTAATGCGAGATGCTAAATCATAAAAGTTAGTTATCTTTTAAAAGATCAAAATTACAAATATTCTAACAAAATAAATAAATAATCGTAAAAAACATATTCTAGCTTTTAACATCATTACGACGAGGGAGATAGAGAAACATATGTGAGAGGTAAAAAAGAAGAGAAGCATATGAGGGAGAGATAAAGATACAAATGAGAGAGGGGAGAGAGAAGAGCCAAGAGCGAAGCTTACCAGTTAGGGTATCCATAATGCATTGAACTTCATAGAATTCAATGGATTGTCAAATCATTTTTCTACATTCCATAAAACTCAATCAATTTTTTCTTATAATGAATTGAACAATATATCTATATAAAAAATCTTATATATAAATCCAGATGTATTAATTTCTTTGCTAATATTTTTGTTATATATAAAGAAAAAAACATCACATCACTCCTCTAGGGGTGGATATTAAATGGAAAGGGCAGGGGCGTACGTACGAGTACGCACAACGTACTCATGCACCATGTAAAATTGTGGAGGCCACCTAGTACGTTAGGTGTACTAGGCTCAGGTGCAAAACCCTAATTTTGAGTTGGTCCCTATATAAAGAACATATTGGTCTCATTTCTAGCCAGCCTTATCAGCCTCCAACCCTCTCTAAAACCTTAATCTCATGTGTGTGGCTTGTGTGTGTGTGTGTTTGCAAGTTTTGAGTGTTCTTGGCTCTTTTAGTTAGAGAAGAAGGTTAGAGAAGAAAAAGGTGTCATCCAACTTCGTGATCTAGAAACTTTCTACCTTTATGCATAATTTTCAGGTATCAAGCTTATACATTGGCTAATGTTCTTCTAGATCTCTTTAGTTTAAGATTTATAAGCTTAAGTCCCTAAGTTTGGATATTTTTGAGTTTGGGACTCTCTAAAGAGTTTAGGCTGTCCTTTCATATATCTTAAGGCATCTAGATGGACAAAAATGCTTGCTTAATCTTCCCTTTTGACTCATGCATGAGTAAAGTAGCGTGGAATAGATGAAATGATGTTTTAGCCTCTCATAGTCATGCAAAGGCTTAAAGCCCACAAATTCATGGAGTAAGAGATTCTAAATAAGTCATATATGTAGTTGGAATGGTTGTCTTAATCGATTAAGACAACAAAAGAGTGGAAATGGAAGTTGGTGGAGTACGTCTGCGTACTCCTAGCTACGCGCAACATAGCCGGATTTCACCCTGCCGCGTGCTTGGTCAGTTGTACACCCAACATTAGGCTCTGTACGTGCAGCGTACTCGTTGGGTGTTGACTTTCTGTTGACCCAGAGAGCGTGCTGTTAGCCCACCGCGACTGCTAATAGTCACCCATGTCGCTAATAACCCATAGATGTTATTTATGTTGTGTTGTATGTCGTATCCTGGGGAATTCACTAAGCTTTGTGCTTACAGTTGTTGATTTATATGTGGCAGGTACTTCGCAGGACCGTGGGAAAGCGAAGGTCTGATTGAACACATGCGTGGGGAATCCACTTAATCCATTAAGTGTTCATTGAAACCTTAAGACCATGATGATCCTCAAGTGTTTAAAAGAAGGGTAAACTAGTCCATTTTTCACTTGAACATTCCAAAGCTCACAAGGCTTGTTCCCAACGTATTGAACACTCAAATAAATATTATCAAGCAAATAAAACATGTGACATCCCCATTTTCATGGCCAGAAAAGACCGATTTTGTTTATGCTTTATAAAAATCATAGTACTTCTTTTAATAAAAATGTTGTGGAATTTGTTCCCAGAAAAACATGATAAATACGTTATTAAAACATTTTCGAAGAAACGTATTTTATTCATTTCAAAACGTTTGGGATGTCATCGTTAATACAGAAACATAAGCATAAACAGAACTTACATTTATTTACACTAGTGATCTACATCTCTTTAAATCTCTCAGTGTAAAGTGACTTCGTATCAACACCTGTGATGTAAATAAACTGAGTGGGTCAGGTTGGGAAACCTGGTGAGTACATAGGGTTTTCAACCCACAATAATATAATTATTATGTTTAAACAATCAAGCAATTAAACCCAATTACCTATCCCCATTATCTTCTTTACTCTTAAGGATCTACCCTAAGAATCAGCTATTTATCGTTCATTCATTCCTAACGATTATCCTAAGGAATCGGCACAAAGTCCATCATAGCCACGGTTTACACAACGGGCACTAAGTCTGCATAGTCTCTAGGGTTTAGGCATCAAGTCTGCATGATCACCAAGGTTTAGGCATTAAGTCTGCATGATCACCAGGGTTTAGGCATCAAGTCTGCATGATCACCAGGGTTTAGGCATCAAGTCTGCATGATCACCAAGGTTTAGAGTACACCGGGTGAGCACGTCGTTCACAACACCTACAGGTTGCGAGCCTGCTAGTGTTCCACTGTACTGTCTAGAATAGTCCGTGGTTGTCATCCATACTCTACTGAATGATGGGGCCATCATTTGGGAGAAAGGCTTCTCACATCGTCCACCTCTCATCCTCACCTCACGGTCTATTTCACTTCTCAACTCATCATCCAACTCATACTCCATCTATTACATCTACCTATGTTTTACTCCAACATTATTGTAGATATAGAATACAAATACAGTTTAAATCATTTAAAACATGTATAAAATCGTTCATCCAGCATAGACAACAAGTATTCAAATAATATGCACTCATAGCACGTAATTTATGTAAGATACTTCGTATCTATGTGTAAGATGAAAGGGACTATGCACTCACTTGAAAGGTGGTGACTCAGCACTCGGGTAGCGCTGCGATACTCTCAAAACAATTTCCTTCGATAAACCCTAGTACCAATACCACTAGGGTTTAGTCTAAAGATAACCGCGACAAATTAATTAGTCTGACTATTATTATTATTATATAAGCGTTAATAACACTCAATATAACTCATAATAATAGCCCAAATAATTATTTTAAGGACCTAATAACATTCCTATAATTATTCGAAAGCTATATTAAAAATTGCGTAAGCATAGCTTACTTACAGCGAATTTTATCGAAAACCGGAACTTTATTTGGAGCAGCGTTTCGAAACCGAAAGACCCTTTTTCTTGGGACTCCGGGAGCCTCGGGGCTTCCCTCGGGAGCTAAGGGGTTTAACTAGGGCTTAGGGGTAGTTTGGGGCTTAGAGAGAGAAAGAAACTAGAGAGAGAATGGAATTTGAAGTGAAAAATGAGTGAGAAGTTCGGACCTTCGCATGCCTTTTATAGGCGCCTGATCTCAGAAATTACGCAGGGCGTACCGAGGGTACGCTGGGCGTACTCCTCGGATAAGGCCTCCAGCTGGGTCGCACGTGGACCGACCTCAGAGTGGATAAGAACCGGAGGTACGCGGGGCGTACAGACTTCGGAAGCTGGGCGTAATATGAGGCGATGTGTCATCATCCAAAGCGAGGACCATGGGCCGCAAGCGACGGCTGTGATCTTGCCACGTCATCGATCCATGCATCAACTTCGCAAATTCACTTCCCAACTTCTAAAAATCATAACTTTCACATACGAGCTTCGTTTTTTACGTTATTTATATCCACGCGAAGGTGGGAACATATTCTACAACTTTCATTTAGACTTCATCGGCTAATTTTGACTCGCTTTTAAATTTTATATTATTAACAGGCCGGGACAGGATTGGTCCGTTAAATCCTCATAACTTCTTCATCCGATGTCCGTTTTTGCCCATATTTTTCTCGTTACACTACTCTTAACGAGATCTTCGATTCTCGTTTAGGTCGTGTCGGCTGAAAACCGCTCGATCTAATGTTCGAATTTCGGGTTGTACACTACTAATCCGAAACTTCGAAAAATCATAACTTCTTCATACGAAGTCAGATTTGGGCGTTCTTTTTATCGATGTTCTTAGTTTAACATATTCTACGACTTTCGTTTAGATCACTAAGGCTAAATCTCGCTCTATCGTAAATTCACTATTTACGCTTCCCGGTATCATGCCGGTTCTGTCGCGAAACTTCAACAGGTCATAAGTTCTTTGTTATAAATCGGATTTCAGTGTTCTTTATATGTACGGAAACCTTGATACATATTCTAAAACTTGGTTAAGATTATTTATTCTAAATAATCTTTTGTCAAAAAGTCGTTTTCGACCCCTATTGCCTCTAAATTCACTAGCCCGGATCTACGGGCGTTACAAAACCCCCCATTAATCTCTATAAAAATGCCCAATCTAACTATGGAATCCTCAATTCCATTCCATGTCCTAAAATTGTCCTTGGGTCGTAACAATCACTAGAGATGGATCCTTGCTAACATTCCTTCATGTTTATGTTTCACTGTCATCTCTTGAGTGTCAATTCATGTTCATGAATATCATTCACTTATTATGTGAGATTCATTATGTAATTATCAATAGATTTCCCAAAATTCCCTTAAGGCCAATTATTCCATAAATTCAACTATAGAACACTCAATCCTTCATGTTCTTGCATTCAAATCATATTATTAGTATCAACTCACGATTATGAGTATCATATACTCATCAAATGCTCACATTCCAAGAATTTCATTGTTTTCATGATCATTTCCCCTAAAATTGTACTCAAATCCAAGTTTATACTTGATTCTACGATCATTGATGTGTTTGAGTATTCCAAATGAATTCATTTT